GAAACCAGTTTCTTCATACTGGGAGGACGGATTTCTCGGTGACTATTACATAGATCGAATTGAAATTTTTTCAGTAGCTGCACAACAATATTATCTTTGGAAGTACGTAGCCGTTTTTTGATTAAATGTAAACTTTTTTTATTATAAACAATTTAGTGCTCATTTTTCATGCAAAAAGTCGATTCATTCTTTAAAAAACGCATAACTTCCACAAAAATTGATTAATCAAAAAACCCCTACGTACTTCCAAAGCCAATGGTATATAGATTATAAATTCTTTTGATTTTTTATCCAACGACTCATACATAACGAGAAATCTACATAACGAGAAATCCGTCCTCCCGTGGCGGTGTTTTTCCAAAATGTGTTTCCGACGATGGGCTCTGTCGCCACCATTTTGTACGAAAATGACAATAAAAAAATATTTTTTTGAAGTTCAATATGTGTTAAATAAACCCTCTGAAAAGAAATTCTTTTCCGTTTGTCATTCTTCCAAAATAAATTGTCAAAGTTAGGTCTCTCTTTCGGGCTCTAGAGTGGTGTTACCCCTTAACTCTAAGCGCAGCTGATCTCTGGTGGCCATGCCTTTACAAACATTTCGATGTCAATAAAAATAGCAACGAAAGAGAGAAATTGAAAGCTATGCAAAAAGGCCTGTCGAATAATCCGTTGATTGCTGATGAATATTTCTCGCGTAGAGTTACAGAGTTTATGAAAATACTGAAGACGAAATTCGCTATAAAAGATTTCTGGTGGCGCTTTGAATACCAGCATCGTGTGTATGTGCGTCGTCGTGTCGACAATAATTAGCGACGGTCTCTGACGCGTAGAATTTGTGACAATTCTCAAAGTCGGATATAAGTGGACTGTATTGAATGATTGACTTCGAGTTTAACAATAACGAACTTTATTGAATCGTGAGTGACTTGTGTGTAAGTTAAATGTATGAATTTAGAGTTGTGTAAATGTTGAACTTCGTATTTTGTATGTCTAATGTCTATTTAATGAATAACTTCTAATGTCTGATGATGTCTAATATCTGGCACTCCGACGCTTTTCCGCGATCTAGGAAAGCTCGGAGTGGGCGTTCACACTTCCTCGAACTTGGAAGGGATAGCAAAAATGATGTTTCTATTGGATGACAAATA